ACACACACTTCAAGAACTTTCGGTCAGAGTAAGAAACGCTACGGAAGGTGAAATCTATGTACCTGGTTTCAGCTTGATTACTAAAATTGGCATTTAACCATAAACAATTGCAGACGAAAAGCAAGGGGTAATTCTCTGAATTTAATAGTTAACCATACATTTGCACTTAGCAAACACCATTACACCAAAACAACCAGGAAAGAAAAAGAAATCCTAAAACCATGAGAAAGGCTAAGAATTTTTTCATACCCATATTAAAACATGCCCTAACAAAATTAGAGAAAGAAAAGGACACCATCATACCGATATGAGAGCCGCATGGGAAAAAACAGAGGATCCGCTAGAATTTAGATACGCGTGAAATTAATCCTAAGATAAATGATCAATTTGATGAAGAGCTCATACATGGCCCAAATCAATGGAGTTTTATGTGAATAAAGTAGCATCTCTCTTACTTAGAGCCAACAACAGGTATAGATATGAGGGGCGTTCAATTCCCTCAGTGATGAGCTACTTCGTACGGATAGGTATCGAACGGGAATAAGAATTGTTGGAATATAAACACAGGGAAGATGAAGAGTTAAAAAATTGCTTAACGTCTCGGGTATGAAGACAAGTGAAACGTCTAAAATATGGAGGATATCATAAAAGCATGGGCATGATTACAAAATGAAGCGACGGAATTCGTAAAACTTGCTTGTAATGACGGCGACTAAATGAGAAGAAGCTGCCCTCTTTAAAGAATATTGCCACATGTCAATCGATGGGTAGGTAAAGATGAAGAAATTGCATTGTTATTTTGCAATTTTGTATCTAAAATGCCACTTGTCTTTATTTGCTGCATCCAGGTGTCGTAAAGATGGAGAGGGCTGGCCCCTTTTCATATATATGATTTCATTGCATTTGGTTGGTTATTTTATCAGAGTAGTACCATTTAGGGCTTAAGATGGGATAGGTTAGAGGTTGTTTATGCTTAATCCTTCTTGCTTATGTTCTTAATCTAGAAATCTCTCTCTTTTGGACAAACCTTAAGGCTACATGACCACTACCCCTGGCTTGTATGTCCATAGGAGATTCTCCACATGGAAGTGATGGAAATCGTTGGAAAAGGTCCACTAAGAGCTCCAATAACTCTTGCTCTCGAAATGGACTTCATAGGGGTTGGATGGATTAGTTTGAGCAATGATCCTATGGCCTCCAAGGCTTGATTCTCACTGGCTAACCCCCTGTTTCTGAGATCAAGTCTTGGTTGATAGCTTTCACCTTGGGAAAGGGTTAGCTAGGCATTGAGAAGCTCAATATCAAGAGATACCTTGATACAAGTTGTTTAAGAGCAAGACTGATTAAGTATAGCCTCCCTTTAGCTGCAAAACCCTGTCTTTAACCCTAATCTTCGCATTAGCATCTTAAAGTTTGCACCTTTATCGCTTTTCATTGCATTTCCTCTGTTTTTACACCAACTCGACCCTCAACTCGATCGAGCTCACCAACTCGACCCTCAACTCGATCGAGCTCTTGGTCGAGCTCATCAACTCGATCGAGCTCTTGGTCGAGCTCCCTTGCATCTGCTTGTTCTTGTTAATTTCTTGCATTTAGCTGCTTTCTTTTACTTTCTGCATTGCATTTCCGTTATATTAGGTTGTTTAGTTGTTACATCCATCTTCATTTATCATTTGGCTTGAATTGCATAGTTCCTGCATAGTTCTATAGAGTAATCAGCTTCCCATTTGGATTGACACCTCAAATGCTACAATGACATGAGTAGCTGGATTTGAGTAATTGATAGTAAAATCCTGTTATCAACTTGGTGCATGGACGCAGCTCAACCAGAGACGCAAAGGAGAAGGAGGAAGTCATCTTGAAGCCAGCTCGACCTACTCGACCATCCGGTCGAGTTCCTCAACTCGACCGGCCAAGCTTCAACTCGATCGAGCTGAGAAGTCAACAGTCAAACCCGAAAAATGTTGCTTCCCCCTTGACTTCCCTTTGACCCTAAACCTAAATCTCTTGTATTTAAAGGCTCTAGCCACGAAAAAGACAACAATCTTTAGCTTATTTTTGTTTTAGCTTTTCAATTGTTTTACTTTTTGCAAAACCCTAGCCTCTCTTTGTGTTCTTGAGCTCTTGCTCTTGAACCTTAGATCTAGGCTTATCTTTCTGTATTTGCACTTGCTTATTTCAATAAAAGTTATTCAGTTTTTCCCTCTTTCTCATTATGTCTCTTTCATTGCATTTGATTGTGTTTTCATTCATGTGTAGTGAGTAGTTTCCCTTTAGGGTCAAAGATGGGCTAGATTAGGGGATCTTATGCTTAATCCTTCTTGCTTATGTTCTTAATCTAGAAATCTCTCTCTTTTGGACAAACCTTAAGGCTACATGACCACTACCCCTGGCTTGTATGTCATAGGCGATTCTCCACATGGAAGTGATGGAAATCGCTTGGAAAAGGTCCACTAAGAGCTCCAATAAACCTTGCTCTCGAAATGGAGTTCATAGGTGTTGGATGGATTAGTTTGAGCAATGATCCTATGGCCTCCAAGGCTTGATTCTCACTGGCTAACCCCCTGTTTCTGAGATCATGCCTTGGTTGATAGCTTTCACCTTGGGAAAGGGTTAGCTAGGCATTGAGAAGCTCAATATCAAGAGATACCTTGATACAAGTTGTTTGAGAGCAAGATTGATTAAGTATAGCTTCCTCTGATTGTAAGACCCTGTCTTAGACCCTAATATTCGCATTAGCTTGTTAAAGTTCCTGCCTTTATCGCTTTTTACTCTAACTCGACCCTCAACTCGATCGAGCTTGGTTACTCTGTTCCCACTCGACTCGAGTCCTTGGTCGAGCTGCTTGCTTTACTGCTTTCTTTACTTTCTGCATTGCATTTCATTTCATTAGGTTGTTAGAGTTACCATCATCTTATTACTGTCTGCTTGACTTCCTTTGATTGCATATCTCATAGAGTACAATTTCACCCTTATGGATTGATACCCCTTATACTTCAATGACTATGATGGTTAAGGGGAATTGATTGATTGTGATTGTGTTTGTGATATACCTCTAATTTACCACTTTTTATACTGTTTTAGCATTGTTTTCTAATGGTTTTTGGCAGGTTTTCTATCTAAAAAGGTAGTTTTACTGTGTTTATAGTGTCTAGAGTCTAAACAGGTGAAATGATGCATTTTGGAGCAAAACCATAGGATTTGCACTTCAAGCCGCTCCATGCACAAGCACCAACTTTAAGAGGGCCCAGAAAAAGATCTACTCAATGGATTTCATCAAGACCAGTTCCCTGCGTGCTCTGATTGAGTTAACTTTCCAACGCAACTGGAACGGCCTAATTTGGATGAGTAGAAAAGGAGTTATAACCAAAAGAGTGAAGACTGTCCAGACGGCTCTATCGAGAAAACAGCGCCCAACCGCGCAGTCCGGCTGGCCGAGAAACTATGTTCGCGCTCGGCCAAAGTCACATCCGTCCGACTGAAGTCTCGGCCAAAGTTCAAACCGACCGGCCGATCACGCAACACGACCCGGGAAACATTGTCCCGCGGTCGGCCAAGCACAACCGTCACGCCACGCCGCGCACGACCATGCCGCGCGAGCCGGGAACAAGCCTCGCGGCCGCGCAACCCCTCGCGTACCACGGCCGATGCATCCGTCCGAGCCGGGAACCCACGTCCGGCCGAGAATCATCGGCCAAATCTCATCCGCTCGACCACGCCGGCCGACCATGAATCATCCGGCCACGACCGTTCCGACTCGGCCCACGACCCGACTGTCCGGCCGATCGTCCCGACCGACCGTCCCAACGCCGCGGTCGACCCGAAGCCCGTTTTGAAGCCCGATTTCATATTTTCAAGCCCGGCTTAACCCTAAGCCGCCTCAAAAGACCTAGCACTATATATATAGCTTTTTAGCCTCTTGTGAAAAGAGAGCCGCCTTGTATTTCGATTTCCTACTCTAAGTTTTATTGCAATCATGTTTTCTTCATCTCTATGTGTGTTTGCTTTGATCATGTCTGAGTAATCCACTAGTTAGGTTGCTAGGGTTACTATTCAATGAGTTGCTTGCATGATCTTTGATTTCAATGATTAGCTAGGGATTATATTAGAGTCTTTGTCTCGTCTTGTGCACTTAACTAATGCTGATTGCTTTACCGCGCATCTAGTAATCCGATCTTAGGTTGATTTGAGCCTCGACAGTGCTGTATCATTCGCCGGACATATTCTTTGACAAGCTAGGTTTCTTAGACTGCGAAAGTTGATCTACTATAATCTAGTGAACTGTATCAGAACCTATTCATTCTAAAGCTTGATTTAATCACCTAGGGACATACCAAAAGTTTAGCGACTAGGTAGATTAACAAAGGAGCCGGAGCCTCGAAAGTGGAATGGTTTTATATTCGTGATCTGTGTTCTAGACGGTTCTTAATATCCCAATATCCCTAATCAATTCATCTATCATTGTTTCATTGATCATTGCTTGCTTCTCTGCGATAGCCCCTATGACCTAGCGCTTTTCCTTTATTGATTTACAACCTCGTTATACTTGCTAGTTCGGTTCACCATTACAACCTCAATCATACTTTTGTTTTAGCTTGATCCAAAATCCATAGTTTCAAAGTGTACTCAATAGCCAGTCCTTGTGTTCGATACCCATACTTCCGCGATCTGTGCACTTGCAGAGGTCTAGGAGTTTGGTAAAACCTGACTCCACATCAAGTTTTTGGCGCCGTTGCCGGGGACTGCAGCAGTACCTTTGGAACTCGACTAGGATCTAGTCTAGAACCTTTTCCTGTTTTGCTTTTCTTTTGCTTTTGAATTTTTAGTTTTTGATTTCTTTTCTTTGATTTTTGCTTTTGTTTTTGTTTTTCCCTTTTGATTTAACTTGTTTCCAAGACTCTTTTCAGGTGCATGACTAGGAGGTCCAACAAGGACAACCTAGTTGAACATCCAGAGATAGACAAGCTTGAGAAGCAACTTAGGAAGCAAAAGCCCAAGAGATGGCCGACGAAGCAGCTCGCGCTCACGCCGCTGAAGTGGCGCGCGCTCAAGAAGAAGGAAGAGATCCACCTCCTCCTCCTCCTAATCCACAAGACCCTGCTGGAGATGTGAATGTGCACAACCTCAAGCTGGAGCACCTACAATCGGAGACTATGACTCTGCCGATGCTTTCTTCATGGATAGAAACCCTATCCATCCACCACTTCCTGCAAGGAATGACTATGAGATCAAGCCTCAGATCATAGCATTGGTTAGACAGAACCAATTCAATGGCCTTCCAGCTGAGCATCCTCTTGATCACATAGAAAACTTTGAAGAAATTTGCAGCACTACAAGATCCAATGGAGTCTCTGCTGACTACCTTAAGTGCAAGCTCTTTTCATTCTCTCTTGGCGACAAAGCTTCAAGATGGTTGAAGTCTCTGCCAGCTCACTCCATACCACTTGGGATGAGTACAAGGCTGCTTTCATCAACCACTTCTACACCAAGCAAAGATCAATTTCTGTAAGGAACAAGATCTCCAACTTTCGCCAAGCCAACAATGAATCTTTCTATGAGGCGCTAGATCGATTCAAGGAGTACATTAGGGACTGCCCTAATCATGGTTTCAATGAGGGAAACCTATGGAACATCTTCTATCGTGGCATAGACCACAAGTACAAGCTTTCATTGGACACTGCAAGCAATGGAAACTTCATGACCAAGACTGTTGATGAAGCTAAGGTTCTTATTGAGAATCTTGCAGCTAGTGATTGTAACAACTGTCCTGATTATGACCGCTCAAGCCGCACCACTACTAGCTCCCCTGATTCTTTTCAAATGACTGAACTCAAGAACATGATGGCTCAAGTTCTTAAGGGACAGCTCAAGCATATCAATGCAATAGAAGGGATGAGTGATGCTAATGAAGATTCATCAAGAGAATGCATGGGAGATTTCTCTAATGAAGCCAATGAAGAAGATGTGAACTACATTGGAAACTATGGGAACAAGGGATACAATCCAAGCTATCGCCCAAACCCCAACATGTCTTATAGAAACCCCAATGTGGAGAATCCTCAAGACCAAGTGTATCCTCCAAGGTATCCACAACAACAAAGACCTCCTTACCAATCTCAAGGAAGTCAATTTCAGCCAAGGCAAGGATATGAGCAGAGATCATCATATCCGCCCAAGGAGCCATATGCTTCTTCACCAAATCAAGCTCCTCCAAACCAACAAGGTGGGAGATTTGAAGGAATCCTCCAACAGATCATGGATGGCCAGAAGAGAAACATAAAGAGATGTATGAGAAGATGGACACTTTGTTCAGCAATCTCAACACCAAGTATGATGCTGTTGCCACTCATGTGAAGAAACTAGAGACTCAAGTCACTCAAACTATGGAAGCTGTTAAGAGACAGGAAGCTGAATCCAAGAAGTCCTTTTGCAACTCAGCCGCCATAGAAGAAAGATTTGAAGACCAAGTTCCAGAATGGATGCTTTCAAAACCTACTGTTGATTGCATGATTTGGCCTGAAGAGAATTACCCAGAGAGAGAGTCCAATCGAGCTAGAAAGAGAAGACTCTTCCCAAAGATTATCCCCAAGACAGATAACTCAGGAAAGTTTGTTGTGCCTTGTATCATCAAAGGTAACATTCTTGAGCAATCTTTGTGTGACACAGGAGCCAATGTGAACATCATGTCTAAGAGGATAGCTGACAAGATAGGCCTCACCAAGATAGAGCCATCATCCATCTCCATCAACTATGCTGATTCATTCTCACAAACCCCTATGGCTTTGTGCCTAATGTGATGGTGCAGATTGGAAATTGCTCTATCCCTACTGATTTCCAGATTGTGGAAATGAGAGAGAGTAGCCATAGACCTCTCATATTTGGAACCCCTTTCCTGTCTACTGTGGGTGCCATATTTGATTTCCCCAATCAAAGAATCTCTTTCAACAAGGTGAACAAGGGTATGTTCTTCCCTATGTGTTCAACAAAGAACTCTTTTGTTGACATGGTCCAAGAGGAGAAAGTTACTTTGAAGCCACCCCAAGAAGGAGAAACTGAAGAAACAATCAAGGAAGATCCCATTCCTAAGCCCAAGCAGCTTGCCAAACAAGCAAGGAGTAAGACTAAGGCCCCTACACCAAAACCGCCCAAGGGATCAACCAAGATTGAAGATGAGGCCAAGCCAAGAAGGAAGGTTAGAAAAGCCTAGGTCTGGCCGCAACATGAAGCTTCTATTCCCAAAGGAGCTTATTGATGAGAATCTAGAAGGATTCAAGGAGAAAGTGACAAGAACTCTAAAGCTTTTTCCTAAGGCAGTAGTGCCAAGGGACATTCATGGAGAGATTGTCTATCCAGCTGTGAATCACCCACCAGATACTCATTGCAAGGAGAAAAGACTTGGAGGATCAAGATGCCTCTTGTCTCCATCTTCTCCTGAGCGCCAAGCCTTACAGTCAAGCTAAAGACTTAAAACAAGCGCTGCATGGGAGGCAACCCATGAGGTACTTTTACTTTTCTTTCTTTAATTTCTTAGTTTTTGTTTTGCTTTTGTGTTTTCTTTGTTTTAAGATAGGATAGAAGGAGAAAAAGGTGTGAAAACACAATCCGCGCCAAAACATTGGCCGCGGACGCGCAAAAGAATTTTGGCCGAGCAATTTCCAACCGGGCCGACCGTACGGTCGAGCCGGGAAGGAATGGCTGTGCTCGGCCGGATTGATCTATCGCGCGACAAAACCGTTCGCGCGGCACGCACGAACCGGGAAAGAAAGGCCGCGATCGGCCGATTTTGTATCGGAACGGACCGACCGTGCCGGTCGATCCGGGAAACAAACGATCGGCCTCGGCCGAAATCTCTCGGCCAAACGAATTTGGCCGACCAAATCGCTCGACCGCGACAAAATCCATCGGCCATCGGCCCAAACTTTTCTCGGCCAAGGTAAGTCCCCTTTTCATTAAATTCAAACCGGTTTTAACCAATCCTAAACCAACTTAAACCGGTTTTCAATCAAAATTCGAATTTGAAAAGGAAAATTGATAGGATTAGATCTTATTTACTTTACCTTTCCCTTGAAAACAACAAGAACCTCTCTTTCTTCTCCAAAACCCTAAACTCCATTAGAGGAACTCTAAGAGTTTTGATTTCAAAACTTTTACTGTTCATAACTCTAAATTGGAATTTACTTGCTCTTGCAACCTTATTCACTTTTCAACACACAAGGTATGTCTTCTAACTCTAATCCTATGTTTATGCAAGATCGAAAATTTCAATAAGTTTCATGTTTGGTCTAAACTCTTGTCTAAACTTGAAATTACCATCCTTATTAGTCTTGTAATGAACTTGCTAGGTGGAACCTAGGTGGTTTAGAGTTAATTTGAAGTTTAATTTCACAATTGAATAGTTTTTCACAAAACTTATTGGGCATTCCAAACCCCTTATTCAAAGGTGAAATTGCTTAGGCATACTTCAATTCATTAGTTTATCTAGTGATTACTTGGATTAGAAACTCAATTTCTCTTGATTTGCTGAAAATTTGATTTTAAGCACCATAATCTTGGGATGAACAGTAAAATCCGAAAATTAACTTTGAAAAAGTGAAATTTCTATTTTGTCTCTTTGATTCATGATTAAGCCTTGAGTTGTTCCATTATTCCATATCATTATTACAACTCAATTAGCTTATTCTTCTTTTGCATTAATCACAAACTCATATTTCTTCCCAAGAATTTGCTCTTGTAGGTACACAATGGCAAAGACAAAAGGAAATGAGAGTATGAAGAAGAAGAAGAACCCATTCATGGAACCACCAAAGAAACAAATCAAGCTAGGGAGTAGTAGCTCCAATGCAAGAGCAGCAATACCAACTTCACCACATTCCATTGATGCAATCAAGAACATGTGGAGAGTCCAAGAAAGGAGAAGATGATTGGGCACTTGTAACCTTTGTTGGAGAACAAAATCAAGACCCAAGAAAGTGTAAGAAGGCAATGGAGAAGGTGAACATCGAGCCATGTGTGAAGATGGACACCCAAACCCTTGATCTTCTCAAGATAAGAGATGATGTCACATGGTACATAAGGAAGCTAGGCTTGAGCAAGCTCTTCAAGCTAGAATGTAGTGAGTACTCACAACTCACCAAGGAGTTCCTCTCCACAGTAGCTCTTGCCTTTCCCAACCACAATGGAGACCAACCAGCTGGTGATGGACTCCTACTCTTCAAGATAGGCGATGCCAATGGGCGCATCTCCATCTCAGCTCTATGCCAACTCTTTGGACTTCCCAATGAGACAGCACATGACTTCAAGGAGAACTCAAAGAGGAAACAAGCTGCCTTTGCTGATTGGACACACTTTGCCAATGAACCATTCTTGCCTTCAAGGTCAAAGGTGTCTAGAATCACCATCCAGCCATTCGCTATGTGCACCGCCTCATCTCCACCACTTTCCAATGCAAACAAGAAGCCAACAAGGTCACAACTGATGAGTTCTACATCCTCACCACACCATTCATCAAGCATGAGTACAAGGCCAACCTTGGACTTTTACTTGCCAAGACATTCATCAATGTGAGGAAGCTAGCTCAAGACTTGGAAGGCAACAAGAAGCTTTGTGTTCGTTTTGGGAGGCTTATCACGGCCATAGTACTGCATGTGGGGATTGACATTCCCAACTATGAGCCACTACCCAAGCCAACCCCTTTGGATCTCCATGCTCTTCAGCACATCCACTTCCTAAACCGTTGGACTAAAGACCCAACTCGGTTTTGCTATGAGTTTCCAATTGGTCCAGCCAACACTTCCCTTGTCTTGCTGCCACATGAGACATCCCAAGCCTACGCTCAGGAGTTGTCACTTTCCAGCCCAATGAGGAAGACTTCTATGTTCCATCAAGTGAGAAACCATCATTCCCCATGCTCACCTATCGCACACTTCAGCATGCAGTCAAGACTCAACGCCGCCACCAAGAACGCCATGTTCTCACTACTGGCATGGCTGCGCACCAAGCTCTAGACCGTGTTAACAAGCTGGAGAAGATAGTGGAATGCCAATCTCGCTTCATCTCACGCCTAGTCCGTGTAGTTCGCCACATTGCACCGGAGAGACTCTTTCGCCCTTCTTCCACCGCTAGAGAGCCATATGAGCCTGACCTTGGTGAGTTCTCACTAGACTCAGAGCTTGGTTCAGAAGGCGATGACCCCATAGATGAGGAAGAGAGTTCTTCTCACTGCCACACATAGTCATCTCAAGTGGTACTTAGTGCAATGGACACTTACAAATCTCCATTTTCTATCCCTATCTCATTTTAATGAATTTTTCTTTATTTTTCTTTTACTTTGAATATTACCTCTCACCTTAATGTGATTTGCTTTCACCGGGACGGTGCAAGTTAAGTCTGGGGGGAGTTTTATTGTGTTACTAATGCATTTTTCTTTCTTTTCTTATGTTTTATTCACTTTGTTTCATGTTTTTCAAAAAGTTTTATTGAGTCAAAAACCAGTCCGGAAGTTATGAACTTGCTTTGAGAATTGAGAGTGTTATGCTAACAATCCATGACCCTAGAGCAGAAACCAGCTAAAGGCACAAGCCTAACAGAAGCTCTTACAGTGGATCGACATGCTAGCTCAGCAAAATTTCTAAGGTAACCAAGCAATCTAGAGTTAACCTCACCCTTAATCAATCTTAATACTCTTGTCAAGGGGGTTGGCATACATGTCGACAGTTCCTTGCTTGATTTTCAATAAGATTTGTCTAATCTTTAAAGAGTTCTCCTCTCTCTCCCATCCCAAATGGTAAGTAATGTTTATGAGAAAAAGCTCAAAGAGCACAAGGAAAACAAGTAAGCATGAGGAATGCATATGTCTGTACCTTCATGTCTTATGGAATACCTTAGTCAAACAAGGAACAAGCTAAAGACTTATCCTGTGGTTGAAAGAAGGGTCAATAGAAAAAATAAAATGATACCCTAGAAAAGTAGGGAGAAATTGACCTTTCAAAGTTCTGATGTGAGAAAGAGAGAGGAAAAGAACTCATTGCACTTAAAGACAATCTTGGAGAAGATCAAGTGGGTAAGAACAAGTTCAATTGATCGATGTCCCCTTGATAAAGAATTCACGCTTTAAATTTATGCAAGAGGTTAGCAATAGAGAGTTTGGATTGCTGGATGAGACTAGTTGGGTTGGTATTGTTCGCTAAACTTGCAGGGTGTATGTGAAGCTAACCTTATGTTGTCTATGTTCATAGTGGAATACAGGAAAGGAACCTTTCACAGGATATTCAAAAGAGCAAGGGAGCTTCCACGTTTTCAAACCTCTTTCACGGATTTAGATTCTTTTTGCTTGAGGACAAGCAAAGATCTAAGTCTGGGGGAGTTGATATACCTCTAATTTACCCACTTTTTATACTGTTTTAGCATTGTTTTCTAATGGTTTTTGGCAGGTTTTCTATCTAAAAAGGTAGTTTTACTGTGTTTATAGTGTCTAGAGTCTAAACAGGTGAAATGATGCATTTTGGAGCAAAACCATAGGATTTGCACTTCAAGCCGCTCCATGCACAAGCACCAACTTTAAGAGGGCCCAGAAAAAGATCTACTCAATGGATTTCATCAAGACCAGTTCCCTGCGTGCTCTGATTGAGTTAACTTTCCAACGCAACTGGAACGGCCTAATTTGGATGAGTAGAAAAGGAGTTATAACCAAAAGAGTGAAGACTGTCCAGACGGCTCTATCGAGAATCAGCGCCCAACCGCGCAGTCCGGCTGGCCGAGGAACGAATGTTCCGCGCTCGGCCAAATCATCCGTCCGTCTGAAGTCTCGGCCAAAGTCCAAACCACCGGCCGATCACGCAACACGACCCGGGAAACATTGCCCGCGGTCGGCCAAGCCACAACCGTCACGCCACGCCGCGCACGAAGCCGCGAGCCGGAACCGCAACTCGCGTACCACGGCCGATGCATCCGTCCGAGCCGGGAAGAACGTCCCACGTCCGGCCGAGAATCATCGGCCAAATCTCATCCGCTCGACCACGCCGCCGACCGAATCATCCGGCCCGACCGTTCCGACTCGGCCACGACCCGATTGTCCGGCCGATCGTCCCGACCGACCGTCCCAACGCCGCGGTCGACCCGAAGCCCGTTTTGAAGCCCAATTTCATATTTTCAAGCCCGGCTTAACCCTAAGCCGCCTCAAAAGACCTAGCACTATATATATAGATTTTTAGCCTCTTGTGAAAAGAGAGCCGCCTTGTATTTCGATTTCCTACTCTAAGTTTTATTGCAATCATGTTTTCTTCATCTCTATGTGTGTTTGCTTTGATCATGTCTGAGTAATCCACTAGTTAGGTTGCTAGGGTTACTATTCAATGGTTGGGAGGGAACGGATGTGGCACGATGTTACGGCTGGGTCTTGGTAAATCCGGCCGTGGAGATCGTGTGGGATCAGTGTCCGGTTCCCAAAGTGGATGTTGGTGTTGTGATTCATCTCCAAGTACCTATAAACACAAGATAAAAGAGAAAGTTAGTATTCGAAAATACCAAGATCTAGACTTAGTTTTAAACAAGACTATGCAAGTGTTCATGATGCAATCCCCGGCAACGGCGCCAAAAACTTGATGGCTACATCTATGGGATGAGTACAAGTAATAATTCCCTAAGACAACTAGTGTTGCAAGTGCACAACATATAATTGTAGTATTTAGGGGTCGAACCACAAGGGATTGGATTTCACACATTACATAATCATAGAGTTCAAAGATCTAAGCTAAATCAAAACGATGCAAGGGTTTGTGTTTGTTGAGAACACGAAAAGAAAGAACAATGCAATTCTATACAAGCAACATTATTGAACTATTGAAAACTCTTTTGAAAACATGAGCCAAGTCGATTGAAAAGTTTGTTAAAATCCGATTCTTTTGAACTCAAAACACTAAGGAAGGATTATTCCACTTTCGTGGTTCCAATCCCCTATGTCTCTTAAACCAATGGGCTCAGCTTTCGTTGGTCATTGTAGAGTGAGACATGCATTACATCCAAGTAATGATTGTTCACAAAACTCTTTAGGTCTACTTTCGTAGCCTAAAACGATTTGCCCATCAAATACTATATCCGGAGATATAACAAGCTTTTGGAGAGTATATCAACCTAAAATCAAGTCACTAGTTAGCTACTCTAGCAACAGGCATTAAGCATAATAAAGATGGAGAACCATAGGGTTTCCCCTTTTAACAATCGATTTTCGATGGCCATTATATCACGTCCTCATTGGAAGGATCCATAATTCAACAATGAGTCTTAGATAGTAGATGAAGTCTCATGAATCCTTAGAGAGAGAGGCGGCGAGATATGACTCAAACCGCCTCACCCTTAGGGAGAAATCTCTACTTCTAGACTATATAAATTAAAACATGCAAGCTATATACAAATGCAAAAGAAGAAAAGAAAGAAGAAGGAGACCACCTAAGTGGCTCCGAACTTTATTGAATAAGTGTTTCTTGTTATGCGGCTGGTGATTCTTATTACAAGAGGCTAAAAGCAAGTATATATAGGTAGAGAGCGGGTCTAGGTCGGCAAAGTTGAGCGCGCGCCAGAAGAGGAAAGTTTCCATTTCTCTTTAGCCGCTTGAGCTTGCTCTCCAAGTTCTTGAATGGGCCGCGTTCAGGCCAATGGAAGCTTCTGGATTGAGTTATGCTAGTGTCAAGACGAGCCAAGGCCTTGGGCGCGGTATCGGGCCTCTTGATCCATCAAAGTCTCCATGGGCTCTACTTAGGCGCTCGTCGGACATGTCTTGGTAGAAAATAAGTTCCGGCCAACGAGTGATCCAAATGACCTCTTTCCACTTCGCCGCGGGTCACGACTCAAATATCTATCTTTCCATATAAGAATCATGACTTTTGGACGTCGGGAAGGCATGAATATGCGGTCGTACTTCGGATGCTCCGGTTTGGTCTTTAGCGAGAAATGTAGATTTTGGTGCTCTAGACTTGGGAACTTGGTGATTTGACTCCTTTTGCTCCATTTTGACTCTTCTTTGCTATTTTGACCTGAATGATGCTCAAAACCAGAATATACAAGAAAACTACCTCTTGGGCTTAAAAACCACATTATTTGTATTGAAAACATAGTGAAAACCTTGATAAAAACATGAAAGATATGGATATATCATTTGTATGGTGGTGGTCCTGATGGAGTATCTTTCTTCCTTGCAACAGGTTTAGTTGGTTGGCTGGAGCTTGCTTTGTCTGTTCCCTTCTCGGCTCGATCGAGCTCTGGTTTGTCTTTCTGAATCTCGGTTTCTTCAGCTCGATCGAGCTCTGGTTCAGGGTTTTGTTCCAGCTCGACCGAGTTCGGTGCCGGAATATCAGCATACTCGACCAAATCCTCCCCTTCCTCGTCATCGATGTCCACA